ACAGGCGATACCATAACCAGTAGGTGGCAGTAGTGTTCTTTGAAAAACATGGATGCCTCCAGTAAAGCACATTCACATGAAAATTACTCTGAATTAAAAACACTGATCATTTATTGAACAGTATGTCAACCATTTCATATTTAAAGTACTTTCAGAAGTTTGAGGATCTTTGTGGATCGCCTCAATGCGGCTGACAGGCCTTCTGTGGTAGAAAAAGAGTCATGGTGTTCGGGGTTGAATTCGTTCATTATTCAGGCTGAAGTCACTGACGTGATTAAATAAACTCCAGGCTTCAGGGATGGACGAGTTCCACCCAGAGTACCTTAGAGCTCTAGATGTTGTCAGGCTGTTGTGGCCGACGCCTCTTCTACATCACATGGAGGTTAGGGACGGTTTCCCTGGATTGGCAGACTGGGATGGTGGTTCCCCACATAAGAACGAGAACCTGAGGTTGTGTTCCAACTAAAGGGCAATCACACTCCTCAGCCTCCCTGGGAAGGTCTATGCCAGGGTCAGTGACAGGAGAGTCTGGCTGATTTTTATCCTCGGCTTCAGGAGGAGCAAAATACCATGATTGCCCTTGCGGACTAAAAACAATCCTTCTGTCATTTGCACAACCTGTCATCTGTCTGTTGCAGTTGCAGATGTGAAATGTTTTTTAATTTTCTTTTTTGTACATTCAAAGCTGGTTTTAGTATTTTATAATCTGTCACCACAGTAGAGATGCAGACTGTTCTACAGACAGCAGTTTCAGGTTTGGATGAAGTTTGTTTAAAGCTCTGGCTACTGGCCCTGTAAGAACAGAGAATGATGACTGAGCATTACAACATTAAATTAAAGCTGCTTTTCTACCAGCATGCTGTTATATTCCAAGTTCATATCCACAGAATTCTAGACAATTAAACAACAAGCATCATCTCTTCTATTGCTAGATTAAGGGGTGCCAGGGTTCTGTCCTCTGTTTAAGTTTATTTTTAGTTTCTTTGTTATTCTTTGTCTTTGAAGTTGTTTTCTGTCAGTTTTGTATTTCCAGAGTTACTCTCTGTTTCCCCCTTGTGCCTGTTTCCTTCCCCTTGGCTCCCTTCTAGTTAGTTCTATCCACACCTGCTCCATATCAGCTCATCTGCCCATCCTTTGTTCTGTTCCCATTATATACACCACCAGCAGTTCCTCATTGCTGGTTTCTTGTTGCTTTGTTGTCTCCTTGCTCTGGATGTGTGTTCAGCCTAAGGTTAATTGGACATTCGGTTTTAAGTATTTTTGGATTTTTGCCTCTGTTGCTTTGGACTTTTTATTAAATCAGCAGAACTCATATGCTTTTGGGTCCTCAAAAACCTCCATATAAACCGTGACAAGGGGGTTTTTGTATGGAGTCATATAACGACTCAAAATGTTATGTAATTAGTTATCTGATAATGGTGGTGATAACCTGTTAATAGTTATGCCCTTTAAGTTTTTTCTGTTTATTTGGTGTTTTACGTCAATGCTACTAATTTATTTTTTCAGTGGCTGCTGTTTTCACTTTACCTTAAACATCTTTCATCTGATCAGAGAATGATGTATTTAATTACTGCACAAGGATTGTTTTATGGGATGTTATTTTTCCTTTGCTTTAGAAGTGATCATAACAGAGAGAGAAGTCCTCAAGGATTTCATG